AATATATTTTCTAGTAAAAATGCATGTGATGAGATTTCTCTTAAAAGAACTCATGATACTACGACTAGTAATATAGACCATGAGTCTATAGATAAAGAAAATGAAGAGGCACTTAGATGCAGTAAAAGGGTAAGGACTTTCAAGTCCTATGGTCCAGATTTTCTAACATATTTGTTAGAAAATAAGCCTCAAAGCTTCAATGAAACAATGTCCACCCCTGAAGCACCTATGTGAAAAGAAGCTGTAAACAGTGAAATTAAAGTCATCATGTAAAATCACACCTGGGAGTTGGTAGATCTTCCTCCAAGGAGTAAACCATTGGGGTGTAAATGGATTTTCAAGAGGAAAATGAAAACTGATGGATCAATTGATAAGTATAAGGCTAGACTTGTAGCTAAAGGTTACAAACAAAAGGAGGTCTTGATTACTTTGATACATATTCTCTCATTACGAGAATAACATATATTCATAGCAATTGCAGCATTGCATAATCTTGAGATACATCAAATGGATGTGAAAATAACTTTCTTAAATGGTGACTTAAATGAGAAAAATTATATGGATCAACCCGAAGGGTTTGTTTCTCCAGGACAAGAGAAGAATGTGTGTAGACTTGTTTAATCACTTTATGGTTTAAAGCAAGCACCAAAACAATGACATGAGAAATTTGACAAGGTAATAATGTCAAATGGTTTCATAATTAATGAATGTGATAAATGTGTCTATGTCAAAGATACAAATAATGGATATGTCATTATTTGCCTATATGTGGATGATATGCTTATCTTAGATAGTAATAATAATATTGTTACAACTACCAAGGAAATGTTGTCTAGTAAGTTTGACATGAAGGATTTGGGTGTTGCAAATGTTATATTATGAATTAAAATTTCTAGAATATCTGGTGGACTTATATTATCTCAATTATATTACATTGAGAAAATACTTGAGAAGTTCGACAAAGATGAAAACAACATTGCTAAAACATCAGTTGATATAAATCTTTATTTGTCTAAAAATACTGGTTAAAGCATATCACAATTGGAATACTCTCATATCATTGGTAGTCTAATGTATGTTATGAACTACACTAGACCGAATATAGCATACTCAGCTAGCAAATTGAGTAGGTATACGAGTAATCTGGGAGTAGTCCATCGGAAAGCAATTATCAGGGTTTTTAGATACTTAAGATATACCCTGAATTTTGAATTGCACTATACAAGATATTCCGTTGTACTTGAAGGGTATAGTGATGCAAACTGGATATTTAATATGAAGGATACAAAATTCACAAGTGGTTATGTTTTTACATTTGGTGGTGCAGCTGTATCTTGAAAATCCTCAAAACAAACGTGTATTGCTAGATCCACAATGAAATCTGAATTTGTTGTTTTAGATAAAAAAGGAGAGGAAGCTGAGTGACTTCGCCAATTTCTAGAGGATATTCCAATATGGCCTAAACTTGTGCTAGCAATTTGTATACATTGCAATAGCCAATCTGCATTTGGTAGGGTACAGAGTGACATGTATAATGGTAAGTCTAGAAATATACGTCATAGACATAATACTGTTAGGAAATTGCTTTCAAATGAGATTATTTCTATTGATTATATAAAATCAAAAGATAATCAAGTGGATCCGCTTACTAAAAGTTTGTCGAAAGAGCAAGTAAATTGCACATCAAGGGAATGAGATTAAAGCCTATGACACAAGAGTCACCTTAATGGCAACCTAACCTAGTTAACTTAGTTGATTGAAGATCTCAAGATCTAAGTTTAAAGGGACAATCGAATTATGCATGATTCAAAAGAAGCACTAAGGAGATAATCTCTCCTACCTATTCCTATGATAAACTAATGCTTCCTGCAGAGTTTATTAGGGTAAGCTATGCTTTTAATGACTTTTATACCTTGATAAATTCAAGTGGGATATTGCAGGATATTTCTAATAGAAGTCACCGATATGGGTGTGAAGGGGTCGTTTCTATAAGAATTTATAAAGGCTGAATTCTCTAAAGCACTCATGAAAATCAGGATATGTTCAGAGCCAAAATAAATACAATCATGAGAACCAATTGTGTTAGGAAAGAAACTGTGTGAAGTTTATTCAATCTGATTTATCAAACAGCTGAATAGTTCAAGATATCACGTTCACTATTTAACATGTAAGTCCGATGGACTTTCACTAGGAAAGGTTCAATGCCAAAAGTTACTTATCTCGATGCACGATCTTTCCAAATATGTACTCTTTATATTGTGTCAGCATTGTCATTTGTATACTAACAACCAATTTTTCATTCATGTGAGGGATTGTTGGACCAAAACAGTTTTTAAATGTAAAAACTGAATTTTGGTCGATTTTGAGCCTAAATTCAAGTGGAACTCATTTGTTATTTTTGAATAAATTTTCATGGGTTTATATTCTACTCTGTGAGGAGAATAATGTGGTATATTCACTTGCTCAAATCGAGTAATAAATGAATGAGAAAATAGACTCCAATCCCACATTGGTTGATTAAGAAATAAATGTTGTACAATGTGGGATTTGACACCAATCCCACATTGGTTGATTAAGAAATTCTACATGGGCATATATATGCTAAGTTTGCTCTATGGGATTGGGCCCCAAGGGGTACCACAGTTTTATGAGTGGAGCCAGCACCTACATGCCTTCAGTTCAACCACACGTGCGCCGCCTGCCTCGCCACGACCCAGCCAGGTCGGGTCGGGTACGGGTATGGGTGTGATCAAACCCTATATTTTTGGATAAAATTCATTTAATTAATGGGGTGCGTCCTTTAATAAGGTGACTGTCCGAAAAGTCATCGATGTGTTTATAAAAACACTCAGGCTCATTTTCATTCATTTATTCAGTTTGTTTCAACAATAAGGCAGACATTAGAACATATCATTAAGGCAGTGCCTTTAGAGAATACATAACACGATTTTGGTTTTCTGGACGAGCAGATTGGAGTGCTACTTCTGTTAGTGTAAAGATCATTGTATCCTGGGAAGCAGATAATGTAGTCTTAATCTACATCAACTTCAATATCAGTTTCTGTTCTGCAATCGGGTTAGTATTTATTTTGGTTTGACAAACAGTTACGTGTAACTGTTTGTTGTTACTGTTTCATTACACTGTTTTAACTCTTTTGTGTCTCTGTTTCGTAAGCCTGTTGTAACTCTTTGTTTATTCTTGTGTAACTGTTTCATACTGTTTCACATATTTCAAATTAGAAACTTTAATAACTGATTTTACAATTTTGGAACACCGCAAACAACAGGTGTGAGCTCAGACGTCTTAAATTCGAATCTTAAAATCTGTTGGAGTTAGACCATGAGGAATTTATCTCTCACGAATACTGTAGTTCTGGCATAGATGACTTACTTTTAACTGAACTAAAAAAAAAATTAATAAAGGTACGCGTAAATTAACTTGAACAATAATAGCCCCACTACTAGTATCTGAGCAGAACTGTGCGGGCAAATTGATCAAAGTCAATTTTTTTTTTTTTGAAAATAATAATAGCACCCACTATTAGTATCAGACCAGAAACTCATTGGTTGTGGACCTGTGGTGGCTGTTTTCTAGCAAGTAAGTTTCCAATGCTGACCCAGTCAATAAAGAAAGAAACGTTAGTGGGAACTTCTTTCAGGGTTTCACATGTTAAATGGTTTCGATGAAAATTCCCTCCACTTTTAACACATACCTACTAACTTTCCACCCTAGTTCCTCTTTTTTCTCAGTTTTTATACTATTTTTTCATTACCTGTGTTTGTCATCTGGGTAGTATATAGAGATCAGTTGGCACTATACCTTTGTTGGTTTATGCTTTGATTTTCATTTTCTGCATTGACCGTGACTGTCTTAGGATTGGATGGTAAAATTGGTTTATTATAACCAACAAATTTGAGCCATAAAAATAATCTCTAATATCATAATTTATGCATGTAGTCTAGTGGTGTGAGGTTGTTTTTGCGGTGAACAATAAACTAGAATATAGTGTGTTCAACTCTCATTAGTGTGAGGATCAGCAGTGGTCTAATGTTTCTGCACCCCGTAGTTGGACTGTTAAGTCGTAGATTCACACCTCACCAATCCCCTCTATAAAAGTTTTTTTTTTTTTCAAAAAAAGCTCACCTATGGCTAACGGATGATGCAAATATCCTGATTTTACTTGCTAAGGATCGGTCTAAAGCAAGGTTTTTTAATAATTTTAAAAAATATTATATATTTCTAACCCTTAAATCTGGTAGTGGAAAAAATTTCTTATACTGAACTAGCCTTTTATTGACCATGACTGACGGTCTCTTGCAGGGGCGAAACCATGATTCGTATCCTGATTCTCAGTCAGCCGGTTCATCCCTTTGTCTTGGATTACCTTCATTCCTCCGCAGACTGCCCAGAGCTCTGCTTTGATGCTTGTTGTGGCATTGATTTTCCCAAAAAAGCCCAAGATCCATATCCCTCTGTCATCCCTTACAATGCCTCCAACTCTAGCTGGTCCCGGGATGCCTTTGGAGCATCCATTATCAAGCTGGCAGGAGCTATTCCCAACCGTTAGTATTACACAAAGTCGCACACTGTAAAATAACATTGTTAGAGTTTGTAACTGACAATGTTAGAGTTTGTAACTGAAAAATAGAAATGTAAAATAACATATTTGTACAGTAAACTTTTATCTTAGTTGACATCTGTGCCTCCAGTTTATGTCACCCTGTAAGAAACATGAAATTAAATAAAAACTTATATGGCTCTCTCATACCTGCAAGACAAGCAAGGGTCGTATTAGAATCCACTCGAATACACTTTCTTTTTCACATTTCTTAATGGCTAATCACCAATTTAGGTGGAACTCATAAGACATAAGAAGACCCCCATTAACATACCATGGGTAATCTATCATATTACAAAAAAAAAATTACGAAAAATATAGAGGAATGGATACTGATCTGCAAGATTAATACATGAATGGGACAACTTCATCTGTGGGATTCGTATTTATTTGTTAGTTGCACAACTGATACAGAAACCCGGATGAACAACAGAATACATAATCATACATACGTATTTTTCAGTCCACGTAAGTCTTGCGACTTCATGGACTCTATTTATACAACTTCTAGGAAAAAAATGGTACACTACACCTCTTCTCACCCACCTCTTCTCGCCTCAATTCCCTGTACACAGCCTTTGCTGCTAGCCACATTAGGCCTTCCTAAGCACTTCTGGGAGTGATAGAACAAATGGAGAAGCATCTTCCTCTCTCTTGATAAGATTTTGCAACCCAAATTAACACAAGAATCACCATAACAATGGAAAGAGACAACATTGATGACCATAACATTCGAACAGAGACTCTAAATGGCTTGCATTGGCGCAAAACAACATCAGAGAACGCATCCTTCAAGAAGGAGCACCAAGCCAGGTTCTGCAAATCAGGAAATATGTCTATCAGGTCCTGTACAGATTGACTGTATGCCCAAGCCATATCATATGAGGCCTCTGGAAGAAACCTTCCATCGCCTTGACATTGTCCCATAGAATAATTCTCTTTGTAACAGGTGAATCTTGAGAGGACCTACACATAAATTTTCAACAAGGGTAAAATTTTATACATCATTTGAAACCTTAGGAATCACTAGAACTCCTCCCAAGATATTGATGATCACAAGGTAAAGCTCGCAACGGGCTGGACTGGTTAATCAGCCCAAAAATTACTATCCAAAAATTACCTATCTGCATTTTTTTTTTCCAAAATTTAAACTTTTTTCAAACATTTTTATTTTTATTTTGGAATTTTGTTGGGTATCTACGTGATACTGTTCATGATCCTACCCATTAGGTTATCAGGTTGTCCAGGGACCTCCATGTGACCGACTGGGCCAGCCATGGCCTGGTGGACCGCCATACTACCTGATCAGCCCGTGGTCCACAGGCCAGTTGCTGTGTCTCACTGGAAACTTTATCTTCTTTTGAACAAAGACAACATGAATTCTCTCTCACTTTCTTTTTAAAACCATGGATTGAGATCCTTACATTTGGTAAGTCACCAATTGGAATAGCGCCTTTCGGGCATTTTCCAGGAGTGTAGCTGTAATTTGGTGCACCAGAGAAAGGATCACATATTTGTTGAACTCCTAATAAATCCTCATCTTGTTCATCTAACCGAAGTGCTTCACATAGCTGTGGTATTTTTGAATTCAACTGCAACCCAAAAACAGAAAAACAACCTGTTTGTTAAATGGAAAAAATTGTGATTCTGATGATGAAGCTAGAAGACCAAGAAATGGTCAAGGATTTAGCTAGTATGCTGTTGTTTTGCCTTGAATGTGCAGCAGGCCTTACTCTGATGTATTTCAATGCTGTTGCATTGTTTGCCTTTAGAGTTTTTTTTCATAGTTTCCCCTTTTAGGGTAAGAGCTTCTATTCTATTATCGTGATTCTATTCTGCAACCCCAAAAAAAAAAAAAAAGAAAGAAAAAATCGTGATTCTATTATGTATTTCAAGATCAGTATAGTACCTCAACTATGAATTTGTGAACAGTGGAGCCAATTTCCACCAAGAATATGTCCGAATGGTTTGATTTTGCACAGGGAAGCATCGATCTTAGGCTACTATTTTCAGGGTTTTGTTCGAAATCCTCAAAAGCTGAACAACTGTCTTCAGCAAATCTGCATATTGAACAAAAATTCTTGAACACTTCGGAATAAGAATATTTCTCAACAGCTTAGTTAAGATGTGAACCATCATATATAATGTCCAACTATTTTTGCAAGAATCAGTTAACTCATCTAACAACCCCAAAAAATAAGACATCTAATCAACCTGTGTGTGTGAATGAGAGAGAGTGTGTGTGTGTGTGTGTGAGAGAGAGAGAGAGAGAGAGAGAGAGATTTGCACTCACACCAGAAAAACATAATCAAATCCTGTAAGAACCCAACTTAGAGTTGTCAAGAGCCAGCAGAGAAATATGATGCTGAAATTGAGCAAAGGCCATGAATCCAGAGAAGGAGAACTTGCAGCCTAATGCATTCAAAATTGCAAAAGCCACTTCAATTGTTTAAGCATTTGAAGTTTACTTACATTATGAATCCAGGGTGCCAATGCAAGAAGAGCAGAACTGAGCCAAAGCAGCAATCCATTAGTCTAACCAAGTTGGTTTCGTCAGATGTTTATCACAAGGAACCAAATAAATAGAAAGACTAGGGGAAGAAAATGTAAGAGAAATAAAAGTAAATGCAACTATGCGTTTTCTCAAGCAGTGATTTAATGGAGACAGTTCTCATTTCATTGTAAAGATACTGTAAAAAAATATTTGGGTTGAGGAGAAGGATTTTACACATAGAGTTCTGATTTCGAAACAATGGTTGAAACAAACATACTAAAACACTCAGAAATATGTGATTTTCAATTTTGCATCTTTGATTCGTTTCGACACCAAAACTGAAATGTTTTGGTCGTTTCAGTGCAAATGAAATGAAATTTTGTTCCTTCACATGTATATGTTGATCAAAGTTCAATGCATACAAATTATGGAGTGCTCTAATTCCAAGCCATGCCATATGAGAAAGGAACCTCACCTAATGCTGAAACCAACAACACCAAGTTGATGCTCACTACTACAAGATTTGCCACGAACCTAACCACAGAAATTAGATTAATTGAATGAAACCTGGAAAAGCACATTCCAGCACATAACTAAAACCAATGAAAGAGAGATGCTTACAGAGTTTCAACTGCTTCATCACTAGAATGTCTTGCTCTGTCAATGAAACGTCGAATCATTCGCGATTCTTTTCCCAGCCGGTGGCTTGTTGAATTCAAAAGTTGACATGTTGTCGGATCATAGGGTAGTAAAAAGGTCTGCATCTCTTGCAAGGAAGTTGTTACTCTTTCAATGGTTTTGCCAGCACCACCACCAGCCCCAAAGATGGTTTCTCTTAGCTTTTTGGCTCTTTGCAGGGAGCTTTGGTTTGCTGCCATTACAAGACTTGTGGCAATTCTTCAAATCGAAAAACAAGAAAATCAATAGTTAGATTAATTAAACTGCATTTTAGGTATGCCCATTTCTTGTAAACTATATGTTTTCACTGGAAGGAGTTTTTTCAAAAATTTGTTTATTCTTTCCATGAATTATATGTAGAGGCCTAGCAAGCAAGAAACATTGGTAGCCACCAAAAATTGATTGTTTTTCATTAAAAAAGCATAAATTACCAAAATTGTGCTCTTTTTATTTATATTAATTACTCCAAAATTGCCCACATTATCTCTACTATTATAATGGGTATTTTTGCAGTCAGGAAGATCAAAGAGGACACAACACATGCTGTTAAACCTCCATGTATTTCAAAAACTCAAAGAGTTCAAGAGAGGGCAATATAAGCAATTATATAATTCAAGAGCTGCCAAGACAGAGCCATGACTGATGGAATCAATCTATTTCCAAGGTCTTTTTATAACTTTTTGAACCAGTGCCGTAGTTTTAATTACTTGTGTATTAAATTATTATCCTTTTCACAAAAAATGTTTCAAACTCATGTTTCTCAATGTAGAAGTGTGTTTTGTACAGTTGTGCGAAAAGAAGGGTAGTTTAGCACATTAGTTTAAAACAACAGTATTTTGTATAAAAACTACACAAAAAAAACAAAATCCTACGAATGAGTAACTGAGACATTAGTAAAATCCGTCATTGTTTAAGGATACACTTAACTCGAATTATGTAAACTCGATAACTAAGGCATGAGTAAAATCTGTCATTGCTTAAGGATATACTTAAGCCGAATTATGTAAACTCAATATCTGTGACGGATAACGGAAGGTAGAATAAACCAAATTAGGAAAAACGATATGAAAACAGTAATGTTATTTATACCTAAAAATCTGACAAAAACTGTTGACCTAACTGTCGGGGCTTACATACTTACAAGGCGAGGAAGGTGAACAGAATAATCATTGAGAACATTATAAGGTAGGAAGAATCTGGATGATCTACAACTGGTGACGAAGTGCCATTGAAATTTTTTAGGATTATGTAGCTCCCAAGTCCCAACCCGAATAACATCCAAACTGCCGCAATGGCATATCCATGGACGCCTGTAAATGCCGCAGACTGAAAGTTTGAGAAAACACAGCATCAATCCCAAGCCTTATATATGGGTAACATGCAAATATGATAAAATCAAACACCCTGTTTCTTAAAATTTTCAATAACATGTTTTTTTTCTCTCCCAAGACTATGAACAAGGGGTCCTGAAACTCAAATCCAATCTCTCGAGTGGTATAAAACATTGTATTGACAGAAAAACTCAGGGTGATTCCATAATACTATTTGGATAATTACGATAGTAGTAATAGTACAGTTATTATTTACACAAAATTGACATAAGATTAACGGATTTATGTTTAGTCTTAGTGGATTCGAAGGGTAAATGGGTCAACGCAGTCGCAAACCCAACTAAGCACCATTAAACACAGCTTATGAACAAATCACAACACGAATCCGGATATACACACTATGTATAATTAGAGCAAATATAGCTATTATAAGTGTATTGAATATTGGAGGGTGGGGCTTGAAGTTGGCGCATCGTTAAAGTTGTCCTATCGTGACTTGAGTTGCAATTATGAGTTACGAAAATAACATTCCCTAAAACCTGCGACAGAAGCCTTACGCACTTTTTTTTTTCAAGTAGATCGAATATGGTTAAACATATTTTTACAACGATACAAACCTGAGAGCTCTAATTACTATCATTTTTGTTATGTCATCCTTGTGTTAGAACACAGAAAAACAGAGGAAGATGCAGCAAAATAATAGTGCTTCCATCCCTATGTTATCTCGATTGGATATCTACAGCTTTGTGTTTAGAAAGTAAGGAAACAGACTTACAGCCCAATAATGCTTGCTCCCGATATCGTAACCTCCATTGTACGATTTGAATCGGCGCAGAGGATCAGGTCTCCTTAAGCTCTGTTCTTGAACAGGGGACCCAAACACTAAACATTTTTGAAAAAACACAGGCATGGCAATCAAGAGAAAAATCAAATGAAGAAGAATAAACCCATTTGATTTACACATCGCTCAATGTGTTTGAAAATATTTCCCAGAGTGAAAATCGTCGGTGATGCAAAAAATTGCATGAGAATCGTTCAATTCTGGATGAAGAGAGAAGAGAGAGAGAGAGAGAGAGAGAGAGAGAGAGATATAGGAGAGGGAAGGCAATGCATACCTTGACTTGCTCACTAAGGTAAGAATAGCTTGTGGCCAGTGTGCGTGGGAAACCTTCTTTTTAGTTGCTGTGTATATTTGGGAATTGCAGAAATGAGAAATGAAAGGAGTTGGGAGTTAGGACGAATCAGGGGCGAAATTTATGTTCACACCCAAATCGGAGGATTTGACTGTTTTTTGGTTCGAGTAATATTATTAGGACTTAATTTATTAATTTAATTTATTAATCTAATTTATTATAATTTTTAGATTTATTATAGGGCCTATCAAATATTAAAATTTGATGTTGATTCAATAATTTTGTTGAAATCACATTATTATATCAATAAATTAAATCAAATTTTTAAATCCAAATAATATTACTCTTTTCGTTCACTCCTTTCTCCGTAAGCCTCTGCTTTTGTTTCTCACGAATTACGAACCTCCTTTTCGGCGTGTGAATTCTCCTCGCTAGTTTCTGCCGTTTCTTGACGAAGAAGGAAATTTTCTTTTCCTTTTTTTTGGGTGCGTAAATCGATACGTAGTGGGAGATCTTACTGCACTTGATTCCTAGACTACTGTAATTTGATTTAAACTCTCATGAAAGAGGTTTTTCTTAGGCTGGCGTCGATTATTTTTGCGAGTTCAGCAATTGGTCATTGATTTAAGTTAGATTAGAGTACGTTCATAAAAAGATAAAATTTATTAGTGACCCGATATAGAGATTGAGCTTTATTCAAATTATATTGGGTTTTTATTCTTATTGAACGTTATGTATCAGTTTAACCAATTAAAAAAGAGTATTATATGAGAATAATGTTATATGAATTTAAAAAATAAATTTTATAATCTTAATCATTAATTTCACTGTTGGTCTCAGTATTTATTGAGACTCACTACCTATTCAATAGTTGAGATTATCAAGTCTAATTTTTAAGTCCATCTGACATTACTCAATATATAATCAGTTATCAGATGATCAAATTTTAGTGAATAATACATGATATAATTTTTAGTCTATAAATATAAGTACGATATATTAAAATGAGTATATTGTATCGAATTACGTTATATTTTTTGTGTCATTTCTTATTTTCCAACTTATGATATTAATGTTAATTATCTAGTATATAAAATCAACAAATAGTAACAATTGGCTAACGTCTCCGAGTATTGTGAACACTGAAAAATATGTTTAGTGTCACTTACTATTATAGTTATGAAGACTCTTGAACTTAAGCGTTGAACGGGAAATTTTGATTTTTTATCCGGATCAACCATTCCACTGTGAGAAAGAAGGATTTGACGCTTACGGAAAGGAGTTTTATTTACGTGTCATGTTTCAGTACATTGGTTAATCTCTAATAATGTTTTGGTTGGTAGGGAAGATGAAAAGTAAGAGAGATACATTTTTTATCATTCAAAAATAGAAAGTAGGAAGAATACATTTTCCTTTCTTTGTCTTTGGTTGGATGGATGGAAAATAAAAATGTCTATCTTTTTTTTTTTGTGCTAGTTAAGATTAGGAGTGACAATAGAGTCGAGTTGTGTCGTGTCAGATTTGTGTTAAGTCATTACGAGTTTGTGTCGAATATTAGTCAAACCTAACTTAACTCATTTAACTAATTGTGTCGTGTCGAGTTGCGAGTTGACCTATTTATTTTCGTATCGAGTTCGAGTTGTATTATCATGTTGAGTCAAAAATTTTTATCCTTAGTTAAGATAGAAAAAATATATTTTTTTTATTTAAATATTTTTTTAAAATTTAATTTTAAAATTTTTTAAAATATATATATTTTTTATCATTGTATTTTTATATGAAATTAATGTATAGATAAGATATATAGACAAATAAGATACATTCGATTTTGGAGGAATTAATTTTGATGAGTTAGAAGAAAATTTAATCCATCCATTTTCTATCCTTCATACTTTTTTTTTTTATCAAATATAATATTTTATTTATCCCTCTAATTTTTCATACTCTTATTTTTTTATCATATCAAACGAAACATAATTTCATTCGTAGTGGCATTGTTAGGTCATAAAGCACATATTGAATCTGGATATAAAAATTATAACAACTACTCATGCTTGTTGACCGATTTTATTGGGACCTAAGATTTAATTCTTTATGGCCTTTGAATTACTTGATCTATTAAATATTAAAATTTAATATTAATTTAATAATTATAATAAAAAAGTCACATAAAAGTGTGCACTAAAATAAGCACAAAGGTATATGTAACTGTCAGATCAATGGATCATATCATTGATCCAACAGTCACATATGATTTGATCTATATTTTTGGCACACATAATTTTATCTATTATTGTTTAATTTATTGTGACTAGTCGAATTTGTTTTATATTAGATAAATGGTTGTAGGTGTTGGAATTTTTCTTAGACCGTCATTAATTGATAGTTAATTTTTAGTTTGTAAAAAATGGATTGAATTTATAGTCTAATAAAATGAGTAAAAATATTATTAAGTAATCTATTTTGATGAATTTATATACATTTTTTAATTGATGTGATTGAGCAGATTAAATGTAGGTCTTAATATAATTATGACATGTAATTGGAGAGCTCATTAGATTTCATTATAGTAGCAAGTTAGATCCCCTCTCCACTTCATAACTCTAATTTAGTTTGTTCCACTGAAATCTGTCTATTACTTTAAAGAATGAGAGAAATATTTTGCTCTTTCACAAAAGAAATTTAGAGATCGAGTATCATGACTCATATATATATGTTTTAAACCTTGTAATTTAGGTGTTCTAAATTTCATATACGAATTATTAAAATTATTACATGTGGTATCAGAGTCTATCGTATATAAATTTAGAACCTGATAAAATTTGCATTGCGATTTTATGATTCGAGTCTAGAATTCAATTTCATTTTTTGTGTCACCGTGTATGGTTGTGATCAACACAAGACGACAGACAACGTCGATCAAAAGCTACAACAAAAGGCTAACAAAAAAAAAATAATAATAAATAGTGACAGCGGTATCGAATTTCTCATACAGCCGTCGTCAATAGTTGAATTCTTTAATGGCTTGAAATCTTTTGGTTAAGAATTTTTTAAGCCGCCAATTGATTGCCATCAATTTGAGCAATTATGGATTGACGGCTATACTTAATATATATATATATATATATATATATATATATATACATTTTTTTTTTTTAGTGATTTGGCGGCAATCAAACTTTTCTTGAATGTTTTGACGGCTAAACACGATGGCTGCCAGTACCTAACAAGGAGAACAATAAAAAAAAAAAAAAAATTGGCATATGATGGCTACTATTTTCGGTACATCACAAAGAAAAAAAATTTAATTAACTTTTTTTTCATACAAAGCATCATGATGGCTATTGGTATATATATATATTAAAATTTTTTATGATTAATATGTATCCTCTTCTCGTGGATATCTCGTGTTAATAATACGAGGTCATGTTAATGAATTAATGTAGGCTTTATCCAGTTGATGTAATTTTGATTGAATTGTTATAATTTATAGAGGGTGTTTGTACAATTCTAATTTTAGTCCTTATTGATTTATATGATGAAATTTTATGATCTACATATATATTTATTAATATTAATAGATTTGAATTTAAATTATTTAATTTTAATAGTAAAAGTAGAATTGAAATCTGAATGCAACGATTGATGATGAGTGATCTAAAAAGATGCATATTAGTTAGTACCTCATATTTATTGATCACACGATATTTAATTATAAGCAATTTATTATAATATCCTAGTTTGAGAAATTTTATGAGTTAAGATGGATGGTTGCCACCAAAGTGGACCATTTATTGAAATTTGTAGATTTTTCTTATTTTTTTTTGTTACGGGATAGTTTCTAAATTATAATATACAATTACCTACTCAAAAGAGATTGTTGTGTATTATAATTTGGAAATATCATGAAATATTGTGGTAGAGGTTCAATAATCTAGAAAATTCATCTGCCCAAAAAGGGATAAATTTTCGAAACTTGAGTATTTTCATTAGTTAGTTTCATGAAGAAAGAACGTATAACATATTACATTCTCTGCTTAAAGAGGAGTTTGTAGTGATGTATATGGACTCTCTCAATAAAATATAACTTATTATGTTCAAAATATATTTTATTTATTTATTACCCAATGTTGCTAATTATTTATATTCTCGTTGCTTTAAACAATCTCTTTTGTTGTGAATAGTAATAATGTCAACATTGAAGTTTTAACTGATTCTAATTATAAGAGATGGAAACAAGATATTGAGTTTACCCTGAGAATTGTTGATATAGACTTTGTTTTGAAAGAGAATGAACCTGCTAAACCTACTAGTAAGAGTTCCTCTGAAGAAAAAGAACTTTATGCAAAGTGAGCGAAAATGTCTATTTCTGAATACTTTATGAGTAGCTTGCTTGAAACCAAAAATGTCAAGGAGTTCTTTACCTCTGTAGGAGAGAGATACAAGATATCCAACAAGACTGAAGCTGGAGACCTAATGAATGAATTAACGAGTATGAAATATGACAATGTAGGTGGTGTTAGAGAATATATCCTTAAGATATTTCATGTTCAAACTAAGCTTAAAGCCTTCAAAATTGTTATTCCTAATGATTTTATTGTTTATCACACTCTAAAGTCTTTGTCTCTTGAGTTTAGTCAAATCAAAACTGCCTATAATATCCAAAATGAGTCATGGATAATAAATGACCTCATATCTAAGTGTGATTCTGAGGAAGAAAAACTTAGAAAAGAAAAGAGTGAAATTGTCTTGTTTGTTTTTCAACCTAAATCTAGTT